TACTGTTATGCAGACAAACTGCAATACTGTAATAATTGTACAGATAATGCAACCCATTCATGACTGCATATTAGAATGGCTATTTTGGACTTTTAAATTGAACAATGACATCATTTGTTTACTTTTGAACATCGGCAAAAATCAAACATTTCTTCCTACTTTGAGCTCCATTTCCGGGCTCTTTTAATAGTAAAAACCAATCAAATCACCTCTATTTCTATAAAATGTTTTCCATTTTTATCAAATGAGACCAAGAAAACGAGAATACATCCAATAAATACTATACAAAAAATAGATCAAAAAGTCCTGCATTTTAATTAGAAAAAAAACGGTCGGAGTTTTTTTTTTTCCTCATTATGCACTGCATGCTCCAAGATTTTTTTATATGGTGCGCACTGACCACACAGACCCATTCTTTTCATATGTTGGCCTACCAGCTTTCCATCGTGCTTGATTTGAAGCCACTAAGTTCACGAGTATATAAAACTCAAACACGGTACCTCGTAAGATTATATAAAATGACTGAAACAGTAAAAGGGGTTTTAAAAGCATCGATCTATCATTGTTGCACCCAGGTCACTCGCATGTTCCTTTTGTTCTAGTTAGTGGTGCCTTGTGTTTTGTATACAGTGCCCCTTTTAAGTTCTATCAATCTTTCCACATCTAAGCATTTGGAATTTGTCACCAATTAACCTGACTTGTTAGTTACTTGCCTTGTAAGGCAGTGCACGGGTATTTTTTGCATGCGTAATAATGTCCAGTCCTAGATAAAATATCATATTAGAGGTTTCCCTACAAATTTTAGTATCCTTTTCACTGCCTGTTTTTTGTGCCTTGTTTATTCTAGTGCTTTGTCCTTGGCTAAAATATTTTCATTTTATTATTATGTTGTATGTTTCAGATACATGGGGTCCTTTCCTGATAATTACACCTGCTTCTACTCTACATAACTGGACTGGTGAAATAGCCAGATTTGTGCCCAGTTTCCAGTATGAAAAATTGTTACCAGATACATGTAAAGGTACTGTTCACAAGTAGACCATCCTGGGGCTAAAACCCTTTGACCCCTAACCTTATGGAAAAGATCTTGGTTTCCTCATGAAGCTTTTTTATTTTTTTTCTTCCTTTATGACACTATTTATTTTTTCAACTGCATATACATGGACCCCCGGGTTTACGATCAGCTCCCAATGCGACCAATTATGTAAGTGTATTTTTGTAAGTGCGTTTGTATGTGTATGTTTGGGGGTCCTGAAAAAGGACTAATCTAATTCACAATATCCTTATGGGAACAAATTCGGTCAGTACTGGCACCTAACATACTCTGGAATGAAATAATATCATAAAAACCGGGGCCCACGTACTGAAAAGACCTAGTTGATAGAAGTAAGTAGAATTATGGAGATTGAAAGATTAGAGGGAAATTAGAGGAAAGAATATAGAGGTGATGAATGTATTTAAATCAGTGGTACGTAGGCTGGCATGACCTCAAGGGGGCTATGGCAAGACTTTAGGGAAAGCCATTGCTTTGATATAATAAGTTGAAGGTGTTTTCAAGAAAATCTTGTAATTTTATTGTAATCAGAATCCCAATACAATTTTAATATTTATGTTTTGCATTAGTAGCTATTTTTAATGGATGACCTCAGATTCACGAGTCCAGTTCTTGTTTGAGTGACTAGCTGTGAGTTGATCTGCTGATCTCACCTGTTCTGTACAGTATGTGTGTCATTACTGTGTATGTGGCATTTGAATTGAATGATCTCAGTCAACCTTGGAATATCAGGAAAACATGTCAGTGTGCTGTCTGAATTATATATTGTGCTTAACTCAAGCACAAATACTCCAAAATTGGTGTGACTATTCTGTTTCTTATGGTTATTACTTTACTTGTGTGAAACATTTGTGTACTTCTAATTATTTTGTATTTATAGGTATCATTGTTATTCTTAACCATTCTTTACGTTTTTTTTTTTTCAACATACCAGCCGTATCCCACTGAGGTGGGGTGGCCCAAAAGGAAAAACGAAAGTTTCTCCTTTTATATTAGTAATATATATACAGTAAGAGAGGTTACTAGCCCTTTGCTCCTGGCATTTAGTCGCCTCTACAACACGCATGGCTTACGGAGGAAGAATTCTGTTCCACTTCCCCATGGAGGTAAGAGGAAATAAACAAGAACAAGAACTAGAAAGAAAATAGAAGAAAACCCAGAGGGGTGTGTGTATATATATATGCTGTACATGTATGAGTAGTGTGACCAAAGTGTAAGTAAAAGTAGCAAGATGTACCTGAAATCTTGCATGTGTATGAGGCAGAAAAAACGACACCAGCAAATCCTACCATCGTGTAAAACAATTACAGGCTTCCGTTTTACGCTCACTTGGCAGGACGGTATTACTTCCCTGGGCGGTTGCTGTCTACCAACCTACTACCTAGGATTTTTTACATATAATTATAATTATATGTCATTTTCTTGGTGCTTAATTAATACATATAACTCACAGTTCTATTGCTTTATGTGCATGTGTTGAATTTTGTTGTACTCTGTACATTTAGGGAAAACTGAAGGGGAGGCAATGGGGATTTTTGAGGGTTGCTTAAGGGTAAAAAGAGAGTGAAAGAGATTGAGAACTACCAATTTAGGTACATGAGTGGGGTCTGTAAAGGATGAGGACACTTACAGAACATAGGAGAAGAAGATTATTGAAAAATGGAGGAATTTGAGTTTAGCTTTGATTGAATGCAAAAAGAGATAATGTATCTGATTATAGTGTGCCAACAGTTTTTTATCAGTGTGAGGCATGGTCTTTGCAGTAAGGAGGGAGATAAAGGCAGCAAAAAAAAGTCATATTGGAGATCAGTGTGGTGGGGGAATATAAAGCAGAGAATAAAGATATTAGAAAATAGTATAGAGATATAAAATACAAAATACAAATTTGTAGAATGGTCATTGAGAGGGTTTTAGTGTAAAAGGAATGTAGCAGATAGGTTGGTAAAGATCTGCATAAATTTAAGGTAAATACAAAGTATAGTGAAAGTCTGGGGCAGGAATAAAAACAAGGTGTAAAAGAGATACCAAGAGGTAGTGTTTGAATGTTCAGCAGGTAAATGTGTGCATGTTATACTTGAGTGAAGAAAGGGTAGTGGTGTCTTTGGGATTTGATATGTTGTTGGTGTGTTTATAATGGTAATATCTATGAAGTGATTCAGTGAAAACCACTTACTCAGACATGAGGTTTTGAGGTGTTAAGTATATATATAATGGCTAAAGTTTGAAAGTCACATGGGATGCTAAAGTTTGTCTATTTTTTCTGGAAAGACAAATGGGAACCATGACTCCCATGAATAATAATAATAATAATAAATGTTGATTAGGGAAGAAAGTTGTATAGTAATCTACATCTGGAACATACTGGAGAAACTGTATACTGAAATTACTGTGTGCTGTGAGCATGAGAATCTTGACTGAAAAGGCCATCTGTCAGGAGACCTGCTGTGAAACTGGACTGTAGGTCAGTGATCTAAAGAGCAACAATTAGAACCCCTTCCTTTTTTTTTTTTTTTTCAACAAGTCGGGCCATCTCCCACTGAGGCAGGGTGACCCAAAGAGAAAGAAAATCCCCCAAAAAGAAATACTTTCATCATCATTCAACACTTTCACCTCACTCACACATAATCACTATTTTTGCAGAGGCGCCCAGAATACAACACTTTAGAAGTATATACGTATAAAAATACACAATACAGTATGTCTCTCCAAACTGCCAATATCCCAAACCCCTCCTTAGAGTGCAGGCATTGTACTTCCCATTTCCAGGACTCAAGTCCGGTTAATATAAAATAACCGGTTTCCCTGAATCCCTTCACTAAATATTACCCCTCACATCTCCAACAGATCGTCAGGCCCCAAATACCATTTGTCTCTCTTTTATTTCCTATAATACTCGTGCAATCCCAGCTGTACTACACTTCCAGATATACCTAACTAGGTCTTTACAATCCCCTCATTCCCTTTCGTAGGGGCTTTGTTTTATTATATATAAATTAGCTTTTTTATATTAGGTATTTCTATATCAATGCTGGAGCAAGGGGCTAGTAACCCCTTCTCCTGTATATATTGCTAAATTGAAAAGAAACTTTTGTTTTCTTTTTGGGCCACCTTGCCTTGGTGGATAACGGCCAGTTTGTTGAAAGAAGAAGAAATTAACTTTTTATATTAGGTATTTCTATATCAATCGGGCAAGGAGCTAGTAACCCCTTCTCCTGTATATATTACTAAATGTAAAAGGAGAAACTTTCGTTTTTCCTTTTGGGCCAACCCCGCCTCGGTGGGATACGGCCGGTGTGTTGAAAGAAGAAAGATTTCTATATCAATGCCGGGAGTAAGGGGCTAGTAACCCTTTCTACTGTAAGCATTACTAAAGCTATAAAGAGAAACTTTTGTTTTTCATTTTGGGCCGCCCTGCCTTGGTGGGATATCGCTGGTTTGTTGAAAGATAACGATTTCTATATCAACTATTCTTTCTGTGTTCTCACATCAGTTATTTAAATTAAAGCTACCTAATCCTGACTCTTCTCTAACAATTTTCTATAAAATCCTACACAGCATTAAAAGTAGCCACACAGTCTTGAAATAATTGAACTAAATTGAAGGCTCCAATTAGAACTATTTCCACAATCTTTCAAGGTGGGTCTTCAGTGGCTAATTATAATCAATTAAATAATATTTTTCTGTATGCTTTATACCTCTCATTAGTATAAAATGCATTTCAAGTTATAGAACAGGTGGCACAGAAAAGTCTGCTGGAGCTCTGAACGTTGTTTCAGTTTATTATGAAGTGCATGCATCTTCATAACATTATAACTGTCTTAAAAATAAGTCCAGCTTGAAATTCTCATTTTTATTTTCAGGTAGTTCCATATTGGGGTAATCCTGAAGAACGTAAAAATCTTCGAAAGTTTTTTGATGGCAAAAATCTTGAAACAAGGGAGGCTATGTTTCCATATAGTAGTAACCAGTTATCAGATTGTTATTCAAGATTTCAAGTTTTTGAAACCGCTTAAAGTGGAACTACATGGTTCTTGATGAAGCCCAAGCCATCAAAAGCATTAACAGGTATTTCATAGAATAGACTGAATAATTCATAGGATATAAAGTACAGGTCTGCCATCACAAATCCACAATCAGTTATTCGGTTCCTTCAGTTTATTCGGCACTAATTTTGGCTAGCATAATTTCAAATTTCCAGGGTCACCACACCAACCTGCTGCTACTGTTTGGTGGCGCTACTTGCTGCTAAGTCACTCCAATTTCTTTTTCTCCATTTATTGTTATAACCTGCTTACTTTTAGCAGTAGCCATGGTTCCAATGAATAAAAGAAATGCTTCTCATTATGTAAAGCACCTACACAGTACATTATCCATTAAAGATAAGGTGGCTTTGAAGCCACTGTCGGTTGCCATGAGCTCAGTCTCATGATGCAGGAGAATATGCTTTATTATTCCACTAATATCAACACTACAGCTTATTTGCCTATCACAATTGATCTAATATGACATAATAAACAATATAAATAACATAAAACATGTTAAATACTCTGGAATAAATAATATTGGTATAATACCGAGCAGTTCGACGAAGGAATGAAGAGGATATGGTATACAGATACCATTCTCCTATCCTTGTCTTGGTGGCTTATATTAGAGAAAACGGAGTACAGTGGACCCCCGGTTAACGATATTTTTTCACTCCATAAGTATGTTCAGGTGCCAGTACTGACCGAATTTGTTCCCATAAGAAATACTGTGAAGTAGATTAGTCCATTTCAGACCCCCAAACATACACATACAAACGCACTTACATAAATACACTTACATAATTGGTCACATTCGAGGTAATCGTTATGCGGGGGTCCACTGTATAGCACAGGGCTCACTGTGATATACACACGTACTGCACCATAAACCTGAAACGAAAAAGGTAATTTCTCTATATAGATTATCACACACAAGAGCATATGTGTAGAGAACCTAGGATAACCCAAAAAAGTCAACATGGCTTTTTTCTAGTACCTGGCTTGGGTTAGCCATATATGTTTTTTGAAAAAATATTCGTTTCCCCAGCCGGGGTAGAAACTTTAGGCGTGTTTCTTTACCCTTTTTGTCTATTTTCCATCAGTAAATGGGTAGGGGTTGTGGAAAATTTTTAGGGTGATTACCTTTATTTACCTCAACATTACAAATAAAAGTAAACTCTTGGAAGACAACCATATTGTTTACCGTGTCACCCCTGTAGAAATAGAAAACTTAACCCCCCCGGGTCACGGGGGTGGTTCCTTCGACTCACAATCTTATCCATACTATCCAGACCAGTATGGATTGGATAGCCCCAAAATAGGGCGTACTAATTAATTGTGGACTTTGATTATATTATGTAACTGAAGAAGGGGGGGGGGTGGTTACACATGGTATACCATCAAAAAAAAAAACATTTGTATATAACCCCCACCACTTCCCAATTTTTCTCGGGGGGTCACTTGATGTAGCGGATCCCCCATCCCACAAATTACAACATACCTAACGGCCAGTATCAGCCCGCTATAACTAAAAAGGGTTACTTAACTGTGGGGATTGTACTCCTTATTTCCTCCTTTCCCATCTCTTTTCGATGCCTCACAACGACACTTTCTCTTTCCCAGCTTGACGAGGTATCCGTTTTTTCCCTTTTAAAGTCGTGACTCAATAAATTTACTTTCCTGGGACGGAACAAGTGGTCTACGTGTTCCTCGGAGCAAGGCGACTTTTTTCACTTCAGCTTCTTTTAACTTAGCGTTATTATCAAATTACATTACAATTCACAAGAGATTTAATTCCATAATTATTAACACATTAGAGTCACCCATTAAATCTAGACGATGATGAGAAAAAACCAAGGAAAAATTTTCCCCCGGGGACACGTCCAGGGTGACGCCCAGTCACCCCCGGTCCTACCCTATTCACTCTTTTTACCACTATTAGGGTGGCCCCCAAAAAATCACTTTCCCTCATCTCCCCCGGGAAAACATTATGACACTTCCATTATGAAATGAGGCCTATATTAATCCTTAGGCCGCCGTGAATCCCAAATTTCCCCTGCCCATGTTTTCCCCAGCCTCCTCATACTTCAAAACACCCCCGCCTCTCCCATCCCCCCGGTCGACCCCCCCTCCCCCCGCACATCCACGCTGCGCAAAAGGGAACTCCGGGTTCTATCCTTTTTTCAAATACTTTTTTGACTCATACGACCATTAAACCCCTTTTAGGCACTATAGCTTGGGAAAAATTTAAAAATATTTTCCCCTGCGGCCGGGGGGAGGCTTTGCTAGCACTACATAATGGGGAGTAAAATTTTTCCCCCATTTTCACGGGCCCACCGGGCTTGGGAACTCCAACATTGGTTTTACCTAATCCCCCATTAATTCTTTCCACCTGTTAACTCCTCGGTTTGGGCCCCACCCAAAGCACACTCAAGCCTCCAGCTTCTGGTATTAACAATTTCCCTCTTTTGAAGGTGTGACACAAAGTCTATGCTTCGGGGTTAATTTTTTGGGGGCTACGGAATTATGAGACTTTAAAAATAACAATCTCTCTCAGTACCCCAAGTCACCCCCAAAATTACTGCATTATTCTTTAAACCCCCCTTCACATTCCTCATTTTTTTCCACTCAGTTGCGTCAAAACCCCGGAAAATTGCCCACTAAGATTATTTCCCCAAATTTACTTCGCTCAGGGACCACCTGTGCATTTAAAGGTGTGCATTTATCGTCGCCTGAAGTAAAAACAATTTATTATTTAACTTTTTTTTAAATTTATCTTATAAGCAGTAAACAATTTTGGTGTCTTGCTCTTTTCGCAGAGCGGGCCCCCAAAAACTGCCCATAGCCATCCTATAATTAGTAGATAATTCGGATGTTGAGCTTCCCGGAATCGAAACCCAGTAATGTCCAGATTCAAATTTAACACCTTTCGGGTTTTGTTCCTGAGTAATGGAATATTTGGATTTTCCTTTATTTATTTAAACCCCTAGCTGTCCAGCTCCCACAAATTAGACTGGTTAACATCTTCTCGATAGAAAAATACTGTACGGTTGCCCTTTTTATAGAAAGACCCGGACTTTTTCACTATTCTAGTCATTATTATAGGGGTAGCCCGCCAATATTACAGGGCCCGTACCGGGTTGAGGAATGATGCGCTGGTTTTGGATTTATCCCTTTATCCTGAATTATTACTCCAAAACACCGGCAAGGTCCCTCAGCTAGGCCATCTTTAAATTGCCATTAGCTAAAAACCTTTACATCAGTCACTGAGTGTCAGGGTTATTAACATTTCATTATTGTCACCATTATTATAAGAATCGCATACAACCCTGCACTAACTGTATGGTCCCTTTTCTTTTTTGCTTATAGCAAATGTTTTTTGGTATGACAATCCTTTACATTATATTGTCTAGACATCTGAAAAATCGTCAAGTTTCTTTCATCCTCTCCTTTTTAATACCCCAGAATTATGGGCTTAAAATTTTTTTAGTGAAATGAGTACCCTGGCAGAAGAGGCAGTCTCTTTTTTCCCTTGCCTGCCTCTTATTAACTGGTTCCCCTTACTGAGTATTTCCTTTTCCCTTGATTGGGGAAACCATATTATGATTCCTCTGATATGTCCCTTTTTTTAAACTTTTAACTAGATTTTTACCACGGATTATTTTCCCTTTGAGATTTGAAAAGACTTCAGAGTCTTTATGTGTTAATCCTTAGAATTTTTTGGCTGACTGGCTGAAATTTGAAAAATTTAAATTCCTCCCGACCTAGTCTGATTTCCTCCAGACTGACTCGGGAATTTTGGCAAACCCCCCCTTGCATTAATAGTTGTCAACTCCCGGGTTTTCCCCCTTTAATTTATTCAAAGCCTTTTTTTTCAAGACGTTTTTCTTCCAATTCGAAATGTTGATTAAAAAAAATTCATTTCCATTCCATCTGCCAATTCTCCAGCAATCCTTTCACATTTTTAAACCCAATTTTACCAATCAATCTACTCTCAAACATCAAAAAAAAAAACATTAATTCTTTGGGGGTTCATGTTCTTTGTTTTTAAAATCAAATGCCTTCTCACAGCCTTTTTAATACCTTTTAATGAGTTTTTCATTACTCTAAAATTCAGGGACTTGTCAGCCACATTAACTCCATCGACCCAGTCATGGAGAGAATTATTAATCATGATTAACAACTTAAGTAGGCGCCTTATAAGAGAAATTTCTTGCCTTTACTCTTGAAAACCCTACCACACATGTGCAGCAATTAATTGGGCTAATTATCATCCACCACACGTCGATTAAATTTGTGTCCCCTATCCCCACTTCCTTAAACAGCCCTTAATTATTAAGTAATTTTTTAAATTTTTTTTTTTTTTTTTCACTGATTGCTCCGGTTCGAAGGACCAGGGGGGCAGATTGGAAAATTTTTCTAGGGGGTGTTTTCCTTTATGACCTCAACATTACATGAAATACAAAAAAACCAGGGGAACAACCTATTGTTTACCGTAGTCACCCCGTGTAGACATTGAGAAAACTTAACCCCCCCTGTCACAGCAGGTGGTTCCTTCGACCTCAAAATCTTATCCATATTTTCCCAGACCAGGAGGGATGGATAGCACCCACAAGTACGGGCTACTAAAATTTAAATTGTGGACTGTATAGATTATATTAGTGTAACTAAATGAAGGGGGGGGGGGGTTTAACATGGATTTTCCCTCAAAGAAAAACATTTGTATTAATCCCACCACTTACCAATATTTCGGGGTCACTTGATGTGCGGGATCACCCATAACAAACCAAATTACAAAAAACCTAACTGGCCATATCGTCTCTATAACTGAAGGTTCTTAACTGTGGGTGATTGATACTCCTTATTTCCTCCATTCACCATCTCATTTCAGTGCCCTGCTACCCCGATAGGGTTTTTTCCCAGCAGGACGGGGTTCCTTTGGGTTTGCCCCGGGTTTAAAAGTGTGACTAATGAATTTCATTTTCCCGTGACGGGAAAAACTGGTTTAGCGTGTTCACTGGGACAAGGGACTTATTTCAT